ATGAACGGATGAACACTTTCTTCAAGGGTCGTCGGGGCTTGATCTTGAGTTGGTGGAAGTTCTTCAAGGGCCGTTGGGGATCTTGGGATGAACGGATGAACACTTTCTTCAAGGGCCGTCGGGGCTTGATCTTGAGTTGGTGGAAGTTCTTCAAGGGCCGTTGGGGCTTGATCTTGAGATGAACCGATGAACACTTTCTTCAAGGGCCGTCGGGGCTTGATCTTGAGTTGGTGGAAGTTCTTCAAGGGCCGTTGGGGCTTGATCTTGAGGGAGGATTTGACGAAGAATGAAGAGTGCTTTCTTGATCCTTCGGGATTTTCTTGAGAGCTTTAGAACTCTAAGGCTTCAAGGTTTTGGTGTGTGGAGAAATGTATTTGTGAATTGGTTGATGCTTGATACCTTGATGGAGAAGCCTATTTATAGGCTTTGATAATGAATCAACACCACAAAATATTTTTTTCCTTTCCAAGCACCATTGCCTAATTTTCCCACTTAATGCAATATTGAAATGGTGTAACTTATGGCCTAATTTCCCACTTAATACCATTTTAAACTTGAAGTGGTGTAACTTATGGCCTAATTTCCCACTAACTTATGGCCTAATTTCCCACTTAACACCATTTTAAACTTGAAATGTGTATGCTTTGTCATTGCCCAAATGAGAAAAACTTGCTTTGATCCGTAATGGATTGAAGTTTGCTTGCCTTGTCATTGCCCAACATGAGAAGAAAAACTTGTTTTGATCCTCAATGGATTGAAATGTACTTGCCTTGTCATTGCCCAAAATGAGAAGAAAAACTTGTTTAATCCTTCAAGGGTATTTCTTCCTATTTTGTTGAGTCACACGCCATGTGTACAATTTGTACAACACGTGGCGTATGTCATGTATGCCTTGACACGTCAAAACTTTAATGCATTGGTGAACATTTGTTTTTTTTTTTTTTTTACTGAAATTTCGATGTCTACAAATGCCCCCACTTCAAGGCGCGTCGTAGACATGTGCTTGACACGTGTAGAAGATGCGTTTTGAAGTCCCTTAATGTAGATGTCAACCCAAGGGCCGTCGAGGCTTGATCTTGAATTGGGCTGGAAATTTCTTCAAGGGCCATTGAAGTTTGATCTTGAGTTCGACTGGAAGATTTTCTGGTTTCCTCCAATCGTTGATTTTCCACAGGCTTAGTCTTGAACTGGGCTGGAAATTTCTTCAAGGGCCATTAAGGCTTGATCTTGAGTTCGACTGGAAGATTTTCTGGTTTCCTCCAATCGTTGATTTTCCACAGGCTGAGTCTTGAACTGGGCTGGAAATTTCTTCAAGGGCCATTGAGGCTTGATCTTGAGTTTGACTGGAAGATTTTCTGGTTTCCTCCAATCGTTGATTTTCCTTTGTGCTACTCTTGAACTGGGCAGCAGGATTCTTTTGGTCTCCCCCGAAGGTCTGAGCTTACTCCTTTTATCTGTTTCTTTGTTCAATCTCTCCAATTCGTATTGAAGAGGGTTAGAGGATAGCTCAGCATATGCAGTTGTTGCTTGTCTCCACATGCTTCAATGTATCATTTTCACTTGCCTTACTTACTCCCCTTTGCAGAAGTGGTCCCTTCTCTGGAAGTGTATCAACCGTTGAAGATGACTACTCGAGAGCAACGTTAGGTAAGCAACCAGGGAATAGCTTCCAGGCAGTCGGTAGACTGACTCCAAGTGCCGGCTGATTGCTCCTTTCACTTTGCTATGCGAGTAATAACAAAGACAAAGGAAAAGACAGGGAAAGAGCATGATATGAGATACTTTTGCTTTTGACCTGGATGATATGAGATACTTTTGCTTTTGAAGAAGCGGTGAATGAATCAGCACATGCTTCAATCTACCGTTTCCTCCTGGGTCATCTGTACTCCAGGCATCTGGTATCATCTTTGGGGAAGAAGAAAAAATTGAGTATTTCGAGAGGCTTTGCTGGGAGTGCGCCCTCAGATGTGAGGAAGAGTTGGGCATTTTTTTTTTTTTTTTTTTTGCAGGTCTGCCTTGCCATAAAAGATGAAGGTTGACATATATAGGGATTTCCCAATAGCAAGTGGTGGTACTATTTCTTTACCATTGTTGACAACTGTTGGGTAATTGAACAGTAAGATTCACGCGTTCTCAACTTTGTCAGAAATCTTTGACAAAGTTGCCCGTGATTTCTGCAAAGCTGGGGTTGCATATGAAGGGTGATGACAAATCTGGAAGAGCCCAGCTTTTGAAATTCAGAGAGTGATGACTCTTCGATCCTTGAATAAGCGGCCCAGCTTTTGAGGTTCGGAGGGTGTTACCTCTTTGATTTCTGAACAAACGCTTCTTCGATTTTTGAGCAAGCGTCTCTTCGATTTCTGAACAAATGCTTCTTCGATTTTTGAGCAAGCGCCTCTTTGATTTCTGAATGGCAAACAGTAGTGCGGATGCGGCTTTGTCAGAGATCTTTTGACAAAGTTGAACGCGTTTTCTGAAAAGCCGAGAAAGCGTCGCCTAACTTACGCCTTTTATCTGGCTTTTGAGATTTTGAAGAGTGGTGTCTCTTCCATTTTTTTGAATCGGTGGTCGTGTCGCCTCTCCTCTTTATAGAGGTATCGATTACCTCCAACATGCACATCTTGAAGGTTGCTCATTCCTGAAAATCATCTCCGGTGTATTTTGTTTTAACAGCCCCTTGAGATTTTTCTCCATCCGACCCTTCTCTTTTAACACCTTTGAAAAATGGCCAACCCATCTAACATTTGCTTAGATTTGAGTCTCAGCAGTGCGCCGCGTCAGGGTAAGGTATGGTGCCCGTCTTTTTTATCTTCTAATGGCCCTCTTACAGGTGAAGACTCCGTGATGACGGATGCAACAACAGCTACGATAGTAGCTAGGAACCTCCTCACTCCTAAAGATAGTAGGCTGCTTTCAGGACAGTCCAATGAGTTGGCCGTTCAAGAGTCCCTAGCTCTCAGCGTTCAGTGTGCGGGCTCTGTGTCCAACATGGGCCAACGCCTACTTGCTCGCTCCCGTCAAGTTGAATCGTTGATGGCAGAGGTGGAAAATCTCAAGCAAGAGATCAAACAGCTTAAGCACGAGAATAGAAGTTTGCACGTGCTTGCAAATAACTATTCGACGGGCATGAAGAGGAAGCTTGATGAGCTGCAAGAATCTGAAGGTCGGATTCAAAGTGACTGTCAAAGGCTTGCGGCTTATCTCCAGAAGCACCTTTTTCCTGGGTCATCCAGCTTTCCACCAAGTATTGAGGCCTCGGATGATCTATCTTCGATGCCTCCTGCTTCGATGCCTCCCGCTCTGATGCCTCCCGCTCCTAGAGTTTTGCCAAGTACTGGGGCTTCACGTGAACATCATTTGTGAAAGCTTCATCTTTTTTTTTGAACGGAGAAAAAGATGAGAGGTAGAGATTGTCCCATCGGGCGTGCCAAATTTGTGAACACGAAAGTTCCTTGAAACAAGAAACAAGAATAACGTGTACAAAATAATATTTTGTTTGATGATTTTGGGGTTACGATCTCTCTCAAATTTGGTTCTCTGATTCTATCTTCGTAGGGTGTTGGTTTGTGGATGAGTTGTTGATCCAAAGGGCCGTCGGGGCTTGATCTAAGGATGAACAGTTGATGAACGGATGAACACTTTCTTCAAGGGCCGTCGGGGCTTGATCTTGAATAATGGTTGTGTGGATTTCTTCAAGGGCTTTTGGGCTTGATCTTGAAGGTTGATGGATGAGTGGATCTTCAAGGGCTTTTGGGCTTAATCTTGAAGAACGATTGGATGTGTGGATTTGTTGAGGTTGTTGATCCAAAGGGCCGTTGGGGCTTGAGCTTAGGATGAACGGATGAACACTTTCTTCAAAGGCCGTCGGGGCTTGATCTTGAGTTGGTGGAAGTTCTTCAAGGGCCGTTGGGGCTTGATCTTGGGATGAACGGATGAACACTTTCTTCAAGGGCCGTCGGGGCTTGATCTTGAGTTGGTGGAAGTTCTTCAAGGGCCGTTGGGGCTTGATCTTGAGATAAACGGATGAACACTTTCTTCAAGGGTCGTCGGGGCTTGATCTTGAGTTGGTGGAAGTTCTTCAAGGGCCGTTGGGGCTTGATCTTGAGGGAGGATTTGACGAAGAACGAAGAGTGCTTTCTTGATCCTTCGGGATTTTCTTGAGAGCTTTAGAACTCTAAGGCTTCAAGGTTTTGGTGTGTGGAGAAATGTATTTGTGAATTGGTTGATGCTTGATACCTTGATGGAGAAGCCTATTTATAGGCTTTGAGAATGAATCACCACCACAAAATATTTTTTTCCTTTCCAAGCACCATTGCCTAATTTTCCCACTTAATGCAATATTGAAATTGAAGTGGTGTAACTTATGGCCTAATTTCCCACTTAATACCATTTTAAACTTGAAGTGGTGTAACTTATGGCCTAATTTCCCACTAAATACCATTTTAAACTTGAAATGTGTATGCTTTGTCATTGCCCAAATGAGAAAAACTTGCTTTGATCCGTAATGGATTGAAGTTTGCTTGCCTTGTCATTGCCCAACATGAGAAGAAAAACTTGTTTTGATCCTCAATGGATTGAAATGTACTTGCCTTGTCATTGCCCAAAATGAGAAGAAAAACTTGTTTAATCCTTCAAGGGTATTTCTTCCTATTTTGTTGAGTCACACGCCATGTGTACAATTTGTACAACACGTGGCGTATGCCATGTATGCCTTGACACGTCAAAACTTTAATGCATTGGTGAACATTTGTTTTTTTTTTTTTTACTGAAATTTCGATGTCTACAAACATATCAAAAGTGTGTTGATCCATGTGAAGAAAATCAGTATGGGACATTTCAATCGATATGCAAAGATCTAGGCTAGAGAAATGTTCTCTCTTATGCCTCAAACTTTCCAGCTTTTCCCCGGAATCCAGCCCGAGATGGTGAAATAATGTACCAAGGAAATATCGGAGAGTACAATGTAAGTTGAATAACCCAACAACAGCGTTCGATTTTTACCTCTTAAGATTCCGAAAACAACCTTTACTCTGAAATAAGTTGCATCGTCATCTAACAAGCGGTATAAGTAGATACTCAGCGTAGAAAAGCTGCAAGAAGAAAACAGAAAGAAATGAATAAAACGTATGCCACATTGGAATTTAAACATACATAAATGAAATCACAAACAAGTTGTGTACAATCCATAAAATCAATGGTAGCAACTGGCACGTTGAAACAAGTAAAGCTGGAAATCGGTCTTAGGTTGGAGTCTCCAGACGGAGTCCAATTTCCAGACCGCACAAACCAACAGTTCTTAAAGAGTTTTTGAGGGATTTTCTCATCTCCAAGAATATAGGCATTTGTTGTGCCTGAACAAAATTCGAGCCCTCGATAAAGATAAAGCAACCAATAAGCAATACTAGAAACAGCAATATGAGGGCTTGAATTAGCGTGTGGAATGTTTGTAAGATGTTAACAGCAAAACTGATGAGGCAAATTAGGGTCACCTTTGGTTTTTGATATACTTTATTCCACTGCAGTTGCATTCAAGTAGTGGTAGTAAGCATTTACCTTCCATACAAACATGTAAAAGGATGTGATTGCAGCTTTGCTGTTGAGATCGACAGATTTGGCTCTGTTCCACAGTACCACAGCCAAAATTGTATGTCCCAAAACCTAAAACAATGCAAATATAGAATAAATCAATATCTGCATTCTTAGCGCATTCTTCAGTGTCTAGTATCTGAACAAAGAGGTATAGATGAACAAAAACTCAGTAGTAAGATGGGATTATGAAAACGCACTTAAGGTTCCCCAAAATATTATTAACTTCTATTGAGAATATAAGAGCACCGCTTGTTCTCATGTAAAACCAAACACATGTATACAATACAAACTGAAGTGGCCTCATTTGACAGTTTAACACTTCAAATGTTTGCATTTTTGTAAAGGAAGGCAACGAGTTAGAATCAGAAATATAGAGTTAAGAGCGATTGGTAGAATTTTAAGAATCCTTAACGTGGACTCCTAAACTTCATAACATTACCAACTATTTCATAATAGCAAACGGCATGTAAAGGCAGAAAAATACAACCGAAAATAAATCATTAAATTCATGTTTTTCATTGCATTTATACGTTCAGAATTAAACGCGTATAATTCAAAAATTATAGAGAAAAGAGAAGTTGTGTCATTCAGTAACCTAGAATAAGTGAAGATTGGTAACGCTCACTACTGTTCTCTTTAGATTTAGAAACTGAAACATTACCGTGACGCATTTGCTCAACGTGAAGCCAGATGATGCTCCCACTAAAATGGCAACACTGTAAACCATTTCAAGTAGCGAAATACAAATCCAAAAGACCTGCCCAAAGATAATTAGGATCAAAACTATATATGCTTGCTTACCACCATAAAAGTCTGAATACGTTGCATATGTATGAATACATGTATATCAGTGAAACTGTATATTTGCGTGTATTAAAACTTAAAGGCCTACCCGCTTTTGTCCCATGCGTACTGTAAAAGACCTGATGCCGAATATTTTATCTCCATCAATATCAGGTATGTCCTACATGATTCCACGGTGTGAATAAAATTGATCATCATCCTTTTTCATCATAACTTCACGAAGTGAAATAATAGCAAATGCATAAATCTACTCGTGTTCAACTTGAAATGAACAAAAGGAAAAGGTTTTACCTTAAATAATGCTATAACAATTGAGAAGAAGCTCATAAATGCAGTTGCAAAGATTAGTGGCCTCGAGAAGGCAGCGGGTCTTTTGTACACATGCATCTGGAAACCGTTAGATAAATTAGAACTCAACCACTGAAAGCGCATCCAACTACATGAAAAAGATGATCCATTAACAGTATCTGTTGAGAGCAATCAATTATTATGAGCCCTCGCAACCGTTTTATGTGTGTGCACACGCAGATATGTTTGTCCTACAAGCATTGCATCGAACACTGGTAACCATTGCTCAAGTGACAGATACCTTTCGATGATGTTATAGGTTGAAATTATAATAGCAAATGCCGCTCAATGTGGAAAACTTATTGTGTAAATCAAGTTTTTTTCTGAGAGAATGAAACAATGGGAAGGTATTAATTGATTTCCTAATAGAAAAATAACAAACCTGCATGTGCAGGAAAAAAGCAAGTTGGACTATCACTGCCCGAACAGCTAGGATACACATTGCAGCAACCACAGCAGACCTCTTCCATCTCAATAATGGCAACTGCGATTATAAAAGACAGGTTCTGACTTATGCTTTAGTACAATCGCTAAATTTACATGGAAAAATTTTAGATACTAAAGTCCAGCCTTCCATATACTATGAAATAAAAACACTCTTAAACTAAATTTCATTCATCAAATTGGTTATCACGAGTGACATAAGCTTTCCTCATATAGCTATTTAAGGAACGTCAATAAGATTACATATGAGCAAAAGCCAACTCACATTGATTGAATAAGCAGTTCCAAGTACAAAACTGATGAAAAGGGCCCAAAACAATGGCCATGAACCAACAACCCATCCAAGCAAAAAGCTCTGTAGAAAAGAATGGTTACGGTCTGAATGTTTTTCAGTCATAATATGATTATGCTTGATGATAAATCCATACACTAAGTAAATATTGAACATTCAATCCAGTTTCCTTAGTCTTAATTCTGATTTTGCATGTATATTAAGGTACTAGTAATTTGGTAGTATTCAGATGTTTGAAAAATTTGATGAAGTTTATTTCTTGCATGGAAACAATGACAATGCTGGCTACACAAATAGTTAAAGGAATAAGAAGTAAAAACACTATTGAGAGCACTCGAATCCTTAACAATTTAAACCAGAATAACTAAATTTCTAGTGAAGAACAGGATGCAGTTTGCAAGCAAAAGTTAGGGAATCACATTACGGGCCCATTTGGTAATCCGATGAAGAAGATGAAGAAAATGAAGGACGAGAGATGAAAAGCTTAAATATGAAGGATAATATAGTGGCTTTCAAAATAAAATCTAATAACAGTTTTAAATGGTCTTCAGTTTTTAGTTTTAATTTTTTCTTCCAAACATTGCCTTTGATACCATAATTAGAAAAGATGTCACAATCATGATGCCGGTTCCAACTGAATATTCCCCAGATGCCAACGGAAGATAAGGCTTGTTAACCTGCAACATACCATAAAATACAAGTATACAATTAGACATTTCACATATGCTCCATGTAAATAATCTTTTTGTTCATGACTTCCAAGAATATAAGTCAAATAATCTAAAGTGGCGCTTAATAAATTGAGCACAACTTGGAAATTGGTAACGTTTGAACATCCGTGAGTGTAGTGAGGGAAGCTTGAAATAATGGCTTAGTAGGCAGCTTGATAACTCTAGATAAAAGAACCTATCATGGAATTCTACATGTAGAACCATCCTAATGGAATGCCCCCTTAAGAAACAAAAAGGTGACATAATTTATAATTCTTATCCCGCAATCATTGCAATTCTACCAATAAACTACAAAACCTACCTTGTCTATATCGATGTCAGACAACTGATTCAACCCAACAATGTAAATATTCATAAAGAGAGCAGCAACTACAGCCTGAAAATAAAAAAAAACGAAGCATGTAAGAATAGCAATGACGACTATAATCTTTTAAGATTATCAATATTTATTAGAGGCATCACCTCCAGCACCCCCGTGAAAAATAATGGAGACAAATCTGACAGATTCTTGACTGCAAGGAGAGAAACTGAAATTATGCTTAATGCCTGTTTAGAGAAAAACATAGGTCAGGTCTCTCTAAATCGATTTGAAAAAGGAAAGGACAAAAAAATAACAGTAGCGATCCTAACTAATCTCAAGCACATATTAGTGGAGTTACATATCAAAAAGTTAAATTGGAGAATGTCAAGATTGGTGGTGATGATTTTGTCACAAACTTAACTGTGCCTATAACTGTGTGCGGCCTTGAAAACCTGTAAAAAGCATCTATGGCATTTTTGATAGAGTTCCATATGCTTTTCGGATTATAGGCTTTAGATTCAGATTCAAGAGGGTGGCCTGTAGTAGCATTCACCAAGAACTTTTTATCATGCCTCCTGTAGAATGTAGACTTTTCCTTAGTGCCTCTGGTATTTTGCTGAAAAATATGTTGCTGAAATCCAACACCACAGTAACTTTCTAGGATATCCCATGCTCTGCGCCTTGAAACTCTGACTGCTACATATGAACCTATAAGAAGAAAGATTCGGGTTCCAGTAAGTTTCAATATGAACTGAGAAAGGCAAATCATACATCAGTTTTAATTTCAAATGAGAATTCGAAGCTTACTGTCTTACTGTTTCTTAAATTTGGATAAGCTAATAATAAGAGGAGTAAATTGCACAATACATTGCTAAGTGAAGTACCATATCAAATAATGCACAGTATTCTGATTAACAAATGCTTCGGTTAGAATATTTGATTACGAGACCTATAGACGCTCCAATTAGAAGACCTACAGACACTCCAGTTAGAAGATGTGATTATGAGATAGAGGCTCAGGGCCAAAGGGGTAGAGCAAGACCTAGGAAGACCTGGACAGAAACTTTAAGAAAAGACTTGGACTACTTGGATGTTGGATCTAACGGAAGAAATGACACAAAACCAAGCGCAATGGAGTTCTAGGATTCATATAGCCGTCCTTTGTTGTTGTTGTTGTATTTGTTATTCTGATTAATAGATTTTGTGAGACAAAATTTATTTCATATAAGAAAACATAAATCAGTTCAGTCGGCCCACTGTGAATTACAGTACGCTTCTTATCCACATTATAAATCAGAATCCTAAACTAATGAGTTGTTATCTTGGAACTTAAGATGTAAGCCAGTACACTTTGAGCTAATTCTTTGAATAAAAACATCCATCGCTACCTTGCTGTTAAAAACTTCCACCATGTGTAATCCCAACTAAGATATAAAGACTAAGAAGCCCAAACACATACAATGGAAAGTGAATAAAACAGTAAAGAAAGCTCTCTTACAAATCTCAATGTGCAAATTTAGCAACGCTGCATGGTTAGCTACAAACATTGATGACTATAATGTCTTGAAATAGTACTACCAGTATTTAAGCAGCTATCACACTAAGCTTAAATTAAATACTATGCTCATATCCAACATATGTTTGTATACAGCATACATGGAATCACAATACGAAATTTTTATTGCTCAAAAGTCAAAAGGGAGATCAGACGTCGTGATGGGACCAGTAATACCTGAAAAGCAGTTCTTGTGGAGATTATCCCTTCTCCGAACGTTCCCACCTATGAATTTTTATAATGCATCAGAATTCAATTAGCAGGAATAAACTCACAACTAAACAGTGAGTACGCGTTTAATAACCATTTCGTTTTTAGTTGTTGGTTTTCACTTTTTGTGCTATAGATAGTATAAAAGTATGTGGGAGAAGGGAGGAACCAAAAAAGGTGAAGGAAGGAAAATGACACGAAAAAGTGAAAAACTAAAAGCCAACAGCTGAAAAGAATTGTTAAGTTCTTTTCATTTTTGAGCTTCTGTTTTCATATGAGCTCCTTCATTTTTCCTTCCCTATTCCTCATTGGGCTCATATACCATCTCTATCTCAAGCAAAAAGAAAATAAAAACTAAAAGGTTTAAGTGAAATGGTTATCAAATCCGTCCTAAAATACCAAATTCAACTCCATAAATGGTACAAGCAAAGGTAGAGTCAACTCAACCTAGTCACATCTTGAAATGACAACAAAAAGTAAAGAAGAAAAAGAAAAATTTTAAATTTAAGAAAACCCAGCCGAATAAAGGTAAATTATTTCAGTCTACTGATTCTAAAGACTAAAAAGAATGAATCTTTGAATCGACAAAGATTATAATAAGTACCTAAAATACCACAAAATAATAATAAAAATTTAAAAAAATTAAAAAAATTAAAAAAAAAAAAACTAGCATTTGAAGCATCTGAAACAATTACTAATTTCAGAGGAAATAAACAAATAAATACATAATCAGAGACCTTAATAAATCAAGAACAAGAGAAAGCCAGAGAAAGAAATGAATATTTTCTGTAAAACTGAAATCACAATACCCAAAGATGCTTTGGAGAAGGACCTAACAAGCGCAGAGTCCATGTGCTTAAGCAAATAAAGAAACTGATGCTTCAGTTCAACTGAGACCACTGTGAAAACTCAGTGCCTTTAAGCAAAGCACTCAGGAGAGGGAGAGGGGGAGAGGGGGAGAGGGGGAGTTACGTAATTAAAACATAACTAGTGAGGTTATTTGATACCATGAAAAATGCAATGGATGCGACTTGCAAGTCCATTGTCCACACGGGTACCAGTGCCTTTCAATTTGACCATGTGGCAAAACAGTCAGTGACGTGTAGTGCAAATTGCAATTCAGAAGCCCGTGAATGCTTGGGACCTTCGCTTCTGACATGTTGTAGGGTCGAACCTTGCAAACTCAACTGCTCATTTCCTTACCAAAAATATCTGGACCAACAAAGAAAACTCTGACGTCGCTAGTAGGCAGATGAATGTTGTTGTTAGCCTAATAAAGTTTGATTCAAAATCCAACTCAAAACATACCCCACCCATTATGGGTTTATCACTAGTAGGTGAATGATTTTTCGTACGATTTTCGTCAATGATGAATTTGAACTATATTATTGTTAACCTCATTGTAAGGCTAAGCACATGTTCGAACCTTGCAAACTTAACTGCTCATTTCCTTACCAAAAATATCTGGACCAACAAAGCAAACTCTGACGTCACTAGTAGGCAGTTGAATGTTGTTGTTAGCCTAATAAAGTTTGATTCAAAATCCAACTCAAAACATACCCCACCCATTATGGGTTTATCACTGGTAGGTGAATGATTTTTCGTACGATTTTCGTCAATGATGAATTTGAACTATATTATTGTTAACCTCATTGTAAGGCTAAGCACATGTTCGAACATTGCAAACTCAACTGCTCATTTCCTTACCAAAAATATCTGGACCAACAAAGCAAACTCTAATGTCGCTAGTAGGCAGTTGAATGTTGTTGGTAGCCTAATAAAGTTTGATTCAAAATCCAACTCAAAACATACCCCACCCATTATGGGTTTATCACTGGTAGGTGAATGATTTTTCGTACGATTTTCATCAATGATGAATTTGAACTATATTATTGTTAACCTCATTGTAAGGCTAAGCACATGTTCGAACCTTGCAAACTCAACTGCTCATTTCCTTACCAAAAATATCTGGACCAACAAAGCAAACTCTGACGTCGCTAGTAGGCAGTTGAATGTTGTTGTTAGCCTAATAAAGTTTGATTCAAAATCCAACTCAAAACATACCCCACCCATTATGGGTTTATCACTGGTAGGTGAATGATTTTTCGTACGATTTTCGTCAATGATGAATTTGAACTATATTATGGTTAACCGCATTATAAGGCTAAGCACATGTTCAAACCTTGCAAACTTAACTGCTCATTTCCTTACCAAAAACATCTGGACCAACAAAGCAAACTCTGATGTCGCTAGTAGGTAGTTGAATGTTGTTGTTAGCCTAATAAAGTTTGATTCAAAATCCAACTCAAAACATACCCCACCCATTATGGGTTTATCACTGGTAGGTGAATGATTTTTCGTACGATTTTCGTCAATGATGAATTTGAACTATATTATTGTTAACCCCATTGTAAGGCTAAACACATTCCCTTTTCCTCAGTATAGATAATATTGTTTGTTAAAAGAAAATAAAATAAATTACTGAGACATTATGTTTAATTATTTTGGTTGAAGACGATATGATTATAATATGACATTATTTGTTAAAAAATAATTTCTTGCAGATGTAATTTTGAACAAATTATATTTAGCTTCTTTGGCTAGAGATGTTAGTGTCATATCGATTCTAAAGTCCAAGCTCAAACGTTTGCGCTGACGTTTTTGCCAGACGCATGCGCCACACAAGCTGAGATCCAAGAGTGGCACGACATATTCTGTTGCATAAGTCCTACCACAATGGTTGTCAGGACACGTGTGCAAGTCTCAGAAGTCACTTCAAATTATCACACTTTAATTCAACGGTACTATTATTTTCCATAATAATGATTTTTAAAAAACAAATTGAAAAAAATCATAATAATAAGAAATAATAAAATTTCGAACCCCTTCTTTGGTTTTTTTTTTGTTTTCAAAAAATCCTAAGGTTGTTTTTTTTTTTTTTATTACTTCCCACACCAAAACTCAATAAACTCAAAACAATCTTTTATATCCTTATTTCTTTACATTCTTATTTCATTTTCTACATTGTTTGTGCTTATAAAATTGACATCTCTAGTCGAAGGTGGAGTCAAAACCGAAACCGCATGGTCGACCACGGAAACCTACTTGAAAATTTAATAATTTTTATGGACAAAGACACGTGCATAATCATAATCATCTATTCTAAATTAATCTCATCCATTAAATAATTATTAAATAATTGAATTATACGTCAAAAATAAAATAATTGATTGTCACAATGGGGATAGATTGTGAATAGTAAGTGCGATGTTAGTCAACTATTTAAGTGAATGGTAGCTACCATAACTTCATTCCTAAATCTTAATCCACCTTTAGAGCATCTCCATTCTTCTGAAAAGTTAGGACTCAAATCTTATATTTAAGTTTAGATGAGGCAAATTATCTCTCATGCATCGGAGGATCTAGAATTTGAATCTTGATATTGGAGATGCTTACTTTTTTCTTAGGAAATTATTGCAGTTTGATGATATGATAACCCGTTCCAAATTTTACGTTTTTATTTTATTTTAAAAGTGTGAATTTACGAAAATACTCTAGAGGCAAAGATTTTGACTTACGTTGACCATTGTCTAGAGAGACGTATGACTTATTCTTTTAACATATTCTCGTAGTACTTGTTGGTGTGAATGCATAGGCGAAAACCGTTTGCGAGTCCGGATTGTAACGGTATAGTTGTAGACGTTTGAAAATGGTTATTTAAAGTTTAGTTATAAATTATTTGAATTCCCACCTTATGGGAAAGTAGCCAATGGCACAAATAGGAAGGAACCAATTAAAATTAGAGGGAGAGGGTGAGACCCAATCAGAAAAAAAAGAAAAAAAAAAAAAATTGGGAAAGCTTCCCGTGCACCCGTGCCCAACCCTGTGTGACCACCCATTTTCCAAGGCTGATTTTGGCCAACTCCGATGGAGTTTTTCGACGCCGCCACCACCATCTTGAAGCTCTCATTCCCCTATACAAAACTCACCCGAGAACCACCTTAATTAATCATTAGTTAGTTCCAAATTCCATTAGGCATTGGACATAACTTTCCATTAGTTCATTAACTTACTTTTATTAGCCAAGTCTCAAACACTAAGGCTAATAGTGCCGAATTATGTTTTTTTTTTTTTTTTTTTTTTTGGTTATGTTGTTGTTGGTAGTTTTGGTTGAGTCACTTGGTTGTTCGTTTGATCAAACTTATGCTAGCGGTTGAGTTAGTTCGTCTTGTCCAATTTTATCCAAATTCCAGCTCATACTTCTTAAAAATGAAGTTAAAAGTGATATCTTAGGGTGTGAATATGGTAACCTTTGACCTTTTGAAGCCCAATCTTTTCCCCAATATCATCTTCAATAGAGACCAGTCATTTCTCACATCCCGCTCCCTCTGTGTCTGTTATACAAAATCAATCTTCCAATCCAACACCCCCTTCCATAAAAACAAACGTCTTTCTTGTATCAAAACCCACGCAGAAATGCACTCGTTATCTCTCGCCTCCACCAAATCCAATCTCCTCTGTTCCCTCTCCAACTCCTCACCCCATATAGCTTCGTCTCCTCCACTGTAACAAAACCGAGACATCCCATTTCTCTGAAACAATGGAAGGTACTCTCTTTCCATCTCGACCTCTGTATCCCATCCCATCAAACAGACCAACGCAGCCAAACCCTCCTGTGAAATTCAATTCAACGATGCTGCCACCGCCTCCTCAGTCGCCAGCTCCGCCGTTTCCTATAGACTCCCTCCTCCAGCACCTCCTGAGCCTCTCCTCGCCGCCCAACACTCCCCACAAGCTCAAACCCTTAAACCCACCTCACCAAACCAATGGCAGTCTCCTTTCTCTTCAAATTTCGGCGGATTCGACCTCCAAACAGCATCAAATGAAGAAACCCACTTCAGTTTTAGTCCCAAATTTCGAGGACGATCGAGAGCTGCTGAAATCAGGAGATGGGGTTCTCGACTTTTTGACTATAAAGGGTAAGTTGATGTTCAATTCCATTGTAGAGCAGCCTTTGCATGGTTTGGACCATTACTTTGGTTCTGTGAAGTTTGAGTTACTTGAAGTTGATTTGATTAGTTTGTTGAAAGCATTAGACCTTTCTGGCAATTGGGAAAGAGCCTTTTTGTTGTTTGAATGGATTCTGTCCAACTTAAGCTCTGAAAATTTAAAATTAAATGGCCAGATGATTGAGCTAATGGTTAGAATTCTTGGGAGAGAGTCGCAGCATACGATTGCATCGAAGCTGTTTGATGTAATTCCCGTAGAAGAATACACGCTGGATGTCCGAGCTTACACGACGATCCTTCATGCGCACTCTCGTACTGGTAAGTACGAAAGTGCAATTGACTTGTTTGACAAAATGGTGGAAATTGGAATCTCACCAACTTTGGTCACTTACAATGTCATGCTTGATGTTTATGGGAAGATGGGTCGATCTTGGGATAAGATTTTAGGCCTCTTGGATGAGATGAGGGGCAAGGGATTTGAATTTGATGAGTTCACTTGTAGTACGGTGATATCTGCCTGTGGAAGAGAGGGTTTGTTGAATGAAGCAAATGAATTCTTTATTGGATTAAAGTCACAAGGGTATGTACCCGGAACTGTAACCTATAATGCGCTGTTACAAGTTTTTGGCAAGGCAGGGGTATTTACAGAAGCCTTGAGCATATTAAAAGAAATGGAGGATAATAATTGCCCACCTGATGCTGTTACTTACAATGAGCTTGTGGCAGCTTATGTGAGGGCAGGATTCTCCGAGGAAGGTGCATCTGTCATAGAGATGATGACCCAAAAAGGAACAATGCCAAATGCTGTTACGTACACAACTGTGATAAATGCATACGGTAAAGCCGGAAAGGAGGAGGAGGCTCTAAGGTTGTTCAACCATATGAAGGCAACAGGTTGTGTACCTAATGTTTGCACATACAATGCTGTTCTCGGAATGCTGGGAAAGAAGTCACTGCCCGAGGAGATGATAAAGTTACTTTGTGAAATGAAGTCAAGTGGATGTGCCCCAAACCGTATTACATGGAACACAATGCTTGCCATGTGCGGTGATAAGGGTAGGCACAAGTATGTGAACCAGGTATTTCGAGAAATGAAGAATTGTGGTTTTGAGCCTGACAGAGACACATTCAATACCTTGATCAGCGCATATGGACGGTGTGGATCAGAAATAGATGCTGCACAGATGTACGATGAGATGATCAAAGCAGGATTTACTCCATGCGTTACAACTTACAATGCACTTCTAAATGCTCTGGCACGGCGAGGGGACTGGAGAGCAGCAGAAGCTGTTATGCTAGACATGAGAAATAAGGGCTTCAAGCCTAATGAAACCTCGTATTCATTGATGATCAACTGTTATGCTAAAGGAGGGAATGTCAAGGGGATTGAGAGAATTGAGAGAGAAATTTATGGCGGTTATATTTTTCCCAGCTGGATTCTTTTGAGAACGCTTATTCTTGCAAATTTCAAGTGTAGAGCACTGGACGGCATGGAGAGGGCATTCCATCAATTGCAGGACATCGGATACAAACCTGACTTGGTTGTATTCAACTCCATGCTTTCAATTTTTGCTAGAAACAACATGTATGATCGGGCCAATGACATGTTGTACATGATTCGTGAAAATGGCCTTCAGCCAGATCTCATAACTTACAACAGCTTGATGGACATGTACGCCAGAAAGGGAGAGTGCTGGAAAGCAGAAGAAATCCTCATGGCCCTACAAAATTCTGGTGGGAAACCAGACCTTGTCTCGTATAACACAGTCATCAAAGGGTTTTGCAGGCAAGGGCACATGCAGGAGGCCATAAGAATTCTCTCGGAGATGACAACTAGAGGAATTCGGCCGTGTATTTTCACCTACAATACTTTCATCACAGGCTATGCAGGGCAGGGAATGTTCTCAGAAATAGATGAAGTGATTAGCTATATGACTCAGAACAATTGCAGGCCGAATGAGCTGAGCTACAAGATTGCGGTCGATGGTTATTGTAAAGCGAGAAAATATAAAGAAGCCATGGACTTTCTGTCCAAGATTAAGGAGATTGATAGTTCGATTGATGATCAATATGTGCAAAGACTTGCTTCTCGCATTCGGGGCAATTTGGATTCATGAATTATTGACTGTTCACTGTCGGTTTCTTTTTGCTCTTTTTGTAATAGCACCTGCATATATAGGGTTTCCAGCGAATGTAATTGTAAAAGAATGTAACATTCAGCTATTTGGCTGTCCTATAGAGACCTTTGTTACTTTGTTGTTGGGTATTGTTGTGAATTTGTTAATGTAAGGAACGGTGCTTTCGTTGTGACAGCAAGCGTTTGTAAATAGACATGTACACCAAATTGACCTATTTCCGAGTTTGAAACCATTTATAATTGGTTTTACTTATCAATACATATTCGATAAACATCGTAATTCTTAGTGCCAAAAATTCAAATGAAAGAGTTCAACCGTTGAATGATCAATGAAGAGTATAATTCCAACTGATTGAAAACAAATCATACCGTTGATAAGTTGTCGGGGTGGTTCGGGTCGGGATCCCATACAAAACTCACTACCCGAATCCCAAACCGATCCCTTTTAGACCGGATTTCCAAAAACCAAAACTGAATAGAAATTTAGGTCTTTCTGAATTTTGGGATTCTTGAAATTTTTTCGGGATTTTTGTACTGTTGAGCAAAAAAAAATCCAAAAAATTCAGAAGACGACATGTAGATTTTTTCTCAAGAAAGATAAGATTGCCCTCATTAAATGGGCAAAGCGCTCAAATACTCACACGTGCAGCTTAGCATCCCTAAAGATCTAACTACTTCTGCTCAAAGCTCCCCACTCGTGGCATGAAAAAGTCAAAGGCATTAAAGATAAAATTAATTACTAAATCATATATTTAATACATTTCCAATTGAAAATCAACTTCATCAAGTAAAGAACCCCTATCATAATCAATCATGGATACTTCCATCATTATCCCAATATATTATATCCTAATTAATATCTTAGGAATATTCTTTTCTCAGTCAATCAACGGATGACCCATCTTGTTCAATAAGATGCCGCCATGTGTAGGCAAAACACTAACCCCATGGCCAGCCACCTCCTCCTATACATGCCTCTATCTCTACCAAATTTTGGTAAGTTTTTTGTTACATATACAAGCCCTAAACACTCACTCTTTTGAAAAAAAACTAACTTAGGAATTAGAGGCCCATTGGTCAAACCCCCTCCTGTAGGTGTGTGAAGCTTTGGTCTTTGATCAAAGGTGTTGATTGTTTTATAAGTACAAATTCGTCAAGACTAATGACGACATATTTTTGGTACAACAGGCACAGTTTGGGATGTTACACTCAAGTTCTTTATATTCCAAAGATGGACATATGAATGAAAGAATTAGATATGGTTTTGCTTGATTTTACCTTTTTTAGGGTTGGACTTTCACACATCAAGTAGACGGAGTCAGGTTTCCAGAATGAAAGACGTAGAGATTATAACATGTGAAGAGGGAAAGACGATGTAGTAGATCTTGGCCTCTAAAATTTAAGTTGGGTTCAAATTTGTGGAAAAGATTTCACCAGGCATTGGGAGACAGTAGAAGCAACATGTTTGGTAGGAAGGCAATGGAGGTGCTCAAGGATTCGGGTTTGGAGCAGTGAGGAAATGGCAGAGATTTGGGTTTTGATTTTGGGGCTCGAAAGTCAGTTGATTGAGAAGGAAAGAGAATCAGAGAAGGTATGGTGTTGTGTGGTGGCTAGCCAGAGTCGACATTCGGAGAAGGTGGATGGAGGGGAGGCGGTGTCAAGGTGTAGAGTGATGAGATTGAGTTGAGAGGGTTCAACTATGAGAGAATGACGAGAGACAGAGAAAATGATGAGAGACTGAGAGAGATGAGACTGAATTGGACGGTTGAGATTAAATTTCAACCAATCCGACAATCCTGAAAACTAATTAAAAATTAAATACATACATATATATATATATGTATGTATGTATAATTTATATTTCAGTACGGTTTGGGATTACTGAAAGAAGGCATGTGGGATTCCGAATCCTGTATCGAACTTTTCAAGATCGGTTCAGTTTCGAGTACCGAACAGTGCAAGATATTTGGTTTAGACGTTTTCAATTCGGTTTCAAGACTTTTCGGTTAGGTTTAGAATTTTTGGTTAGGTTTAGGAATCCAAAATATTTGGTATGGTTCTAGATTACCAAACAAAGGCATGTGGGATTCCGAATCCCGTACCAAACATTTCAAGGTCAGTTCAGTTTCGGGTACCGAACGGTTCATGATTTTTGGTTCAGGACGTTTTCGGTTCGGTTTTGGGAATTTTGTGGTTAGGTTTGGGACTTTTGGTATTTTTTCCACAACTAATAAGATGTATCAAATAAATCTTCTAGAGGGAACTGTTTGATTGAAATTTCTACCGCAGATCAAGGAAAGGTTAATTTTGATTGAAGTCGTCATTAATCATTAAGTACAAATGGTTATTTCTTAGTATAAGGGTGATGGTTTGAAAGATAGTAACATGGAGTCAATGGTAAGGCGCAATCAATATTGGTGTCTAAAAGTGTGCATATTAATAAGACAACATACTAATAACGGTTGGAATAATCAAGAGTATTTAGGGTTGGATACTCAAAAAGACATCCACACTAGAAGCACTAAAAATCCCACATCGAAGGATCAAGTGGGAGATGAATGAATAAAGTGATCCATGTGATAGTGCTTTCATATTGGAATATATGATTGTTGGCCAAGAGACATGACTCTTGAAAAAGAGGCATTGGTTCAGTGAAAAGTACTTTGCTTCGCTACTTAGTACTACAGTCTAGTGGTATTTTTCTTCATTGGTAAGTGAGAGGTCTTAAGTTTGATTCTCGACTACAGTTTGTTGATATTTTTCTTCATTGGTAAGTGAGAAGTCTTAGGTTCGATTCTCACCAAAGGCGAATTTAAACCACATTATTGCAACCCATTGTGAGGCTTAGCCCCAATCCCCCATCCTCTTAGCGAGATAATATCATTTGTTTAAAAAACAAAAAGAGATACTTTGCTTCAATATGTGAACCAAATGTATAAAGAAATAAAACCCTTGAATAAAAGGTTACACCTTTGTTGACCCAAAAAATTACAAAGCCTATGTGGCACGCATGCTGAGTAACTATGAGCTAACTACGTCCTTGTGAATACAGGTGTGCCAACTTGTGATCGAGCTCAGTTGGCCCAGTAGAATAGATGTGGTGATGGTGGTGTCAAATTCACCACTGAATTTTGCACTTAAGCGATTATGACTGAGGATAAAACATGTCTCAGTCTTGGGTTTTAGAACATGAAAACAAGGTTTCCTAGTTCACTGTGAAGTTCAGGATCTCTTACAGTAGGTTCGGTTGCCTCAGCTATATTCGTGAGAATATTGGTGCGCCAAATTGGTATCAAGCTATCAAGGCACATGTACTCAAGGAAGATGATCGTTTTTATGGTGAACGTGGTTCGGCTGTCTAAATGCTTGAACTGCAAAATTCACTTGAGACTAACCAATTATAGAACACTTCACTTCATTGGGAATCTAATGAGGTGACCTCTTTGGGCGAAAGAATTAAGAAGTTTTCGTCTGTTTGGATAGGTAAACAACAAACCTAGAAGAAGAGCTGTTTACTTTTCCAAACTAAGGTGTTTCTATGTTGTTTGATTCCACGGCGCCATTGCTGTTTACTAATCCAAACTAAAGGTGTCACAGTTATCAACACAATGTTGCTTACTTATCTAAACTGAAGATGTGTTGATAAAAGGGTTGTCCATGTACCAGTATAAGAATCACCAGCTACCACAACCCCTGCTTCCTCAGGTGGAACTCCAGGTTGAGGAGTATAATAAGTCAATTTATAATCTTTAACACCAGTTTTGAATACAACACTTGCTTTGGTCTCTATTTGTGGTGACATAAGTCCCTCCCTACAACTAGGCAATCCAATTGGAGTAGTACTAGAAATGGCAATCCATTAAAAAAACACCGATGTTGAGATCCGCTAAAACAAGGTGATATCCAAAAGGAACTACCGAATAACTTACTAAAATTGATATGATTGCTATGGATGGAACGAATATCCCTCATAGATGGAAATTTTTTTTCTTTGAAAAGTAGTTTTGTCCCATCTGCTAAAGCTTGAAGAACTCCCAAAGGGCCGGCATATTCAGGTCCAATACGTTGTTGTATCCTTGCCGATATTTCTCTTTCTAACTAGACAATTACCAGTACGCCTATTGTGATTCCCACTACAAGAGTCAAAATAGGAACAAGTACCCACAAAATTCCATAAACCTCTTTTAAAAATTCTAATCTAGAAAAAGAATCGATATCTTGTACTTCCGGTGTATCAATTAAGAGGATTATGACTCCTAATATTTAATATATCTCCTAATACTTTATTTTGGAATTGAATAAACAAAACACTATAAAGAGAATATTCATTGAAGGAAGGTATAAATGGGCCAAACAACAATTTTAGGAAAAAGATCTTTTAGATCTCCTTCCCTTTTTTTTTTTATTTTTTTTCAATTCCCTAATATCATATCGTAAACTGAAGATGTGTTGATAAAAGGGTTAATATTGTTAGTGTTTTTCTCAAGGGTGTGATAAGAGTTTTTCATAGAATGAAAGTTTTCGCATAGTACGTTTGAATTGTTTATTGAGTTGAAGGGGACTTTCATGTTGCAGAACCTCTCCTATATATGGGGATGGTTTTCATTATAAACAGGTCCGTTAAGGTAGAGTCCTGATAGGATTGTATCACTCGGCATTATTGAATATTCTTTCTTTTTCCCCTTTCATCCCTTCTTTAGCCAAACGGCGTTAGGGAATATTCCGTCCAAAAAGTGGAAAATATACCTGATGCCGTTAGTATATTCTGTCAAAGTTGACGAAATATTCCTTGTCTTCTCCGGTGAGTCTCGCTGGTCATCGCCGTCCGCTGCCGTCAGCGCCACCGTCTGCAACTCAAAGTCTCGCCGGAAATTGGAAAATTTTCAAAACTTCATATCTTCTTCATTACTCAACTAAAATCCATGAATTTTGTACCAAAATGAAGCTTACAACAAGTAGAACAAAACCTTACCACTTTCAAGCCCTTAAATTCACGGAATCTCACCGGAGAAACCACGAAATTTCGGCCAAACCTACTACTCACCACTCCTGGCCTTCCCAACGTACAATTTCTTCCAAAATGCTTCTTCAAGCTTCGCGAGAGTATTCTAAAGCTTCCTATGACCTTAGAAACTTCTAAAAACCCCACGATGACGTGTGCATGAACAGTGCACAAAATCGGGGTTCCCTGGTTCTTGGGTTTTCAAGGGTTTCACATCCAACCAACACCACCAATCGACTCCTGAGCTCGAAGGGAGTCCAAAAACACCAACAATGGTCACGATCCGTGACAAAAATGATTGAATGGAAGCTCATTCGTACGAGTTGTAAGGAAAATGGAATGAAGTCCGAGAGAGAAGAGAGAGAGTTATGGGAGTGTGTGGTATGTGTGTGTGTTTCTTGTAAAGTCAACCACCAAAAACAACTAAACAACACAACAAAATGGCAAATACCCACCAAGGGCAAAATCGTCATTTCACACCTACGGTTCAAATAATTTGGGACCAGCTGTCTGACTAGGGGTGGGCACAGTGTGGTTCGGTGCGATTCCACCCTCAAACAAAACCAGAACCGGGAAATATCAACGGTTCGATTCGGTGTGGTTCCACTTAAATTTATTAAAACCATACGATTCAGTTCACACTGGTTCCAGTTTGGTTCATACCGGTTTACGATTCTGAATACTAAATCATTTGAATACCAAAATAATGGTATTCAAAGTTTATGTTTTTTTTTTGTTTTTTGCATGTTAGCATTGAAATACAACTTCTCAAATGGTTATACAAAGTTATAAACAAAACATATCCTTTTCAAATACTAAATCAAAGGGTAAATTACAAAAAACTACCTCAACTATTGAGTCATCCACAGTTTCATACCTCATCTTTAAAAAGTTTCAATGTCATACCTTATCTTACAAATTTGTTGTAATGTTCTACCTCTGTTACGTTGTCTATAAATTCCTCTGTTATATTCTGGGTCCCACCCTTTCCACATATGAACTTCCATATTGGTTTCTGAAACACGTGGATCATCTAAAAGGATGACATGTGTATATTACAATAAAAAATTTCAAATTAAAAAAATAAAATAAAATATTTAAAAAAATTTAAAAATTAAAAAAAAAATTTGCCTCGTAAATCATGCAATTCGAATTGAAGCCTGAAGCCCCAACAGTGCAAATTCCATTTCAGTTTCGTTCCAGTTCCCAAATCAAAGAACCCTAACCCTAATTTCATATCACCCGTCCCAAATCACTGCCCAAATTCAAGGACCCATCATTGACATCTTTCTCCAAGGGACAAACAGGTAACATAATCCTTTAATCCTTTAATCCTTTAATCCTTTAATCCTTTAATGATTTTATATTTTGTTCTAGGCATCCACATCAACATAAGGGAGAGCATCATCATCAGGTGAAGCTACACCTACAAAGAGGACAAGGAAAAATAAGGTAAAAACCTAATCCTCTCATTTGTAGTTTACAACATCAAGTTTAGTTTAGAACCTTGATTTGCATTTGACCTTTTGTAATGAACATTGAAATTAGGCACCACAAACAAGGGATGATTCATCTGCAAATCCTGAAGCTCATTCACCAAGAGCCACCAAGTAGAGAAAGACAAGGCAAACCAATACCTAAAGATGCCAGAAATTGTAACAAATTAATATTTTTTTGTGTCATGTTTTATGTGCAATAGGAATTGAAATTATGGTACATGGGTTCTGGAATTAGACATTACAAACATTGACTTTCTTTTGGTTTTTTGAACTGATTTGCAACTTTGGAAATGCACTATTTTGCTTGATGGTTTTAGTAGGTTTTTTGAATCAGTGCACTGTGCATTTTTGGATATTTAAGGATGTCTAATGCATATCTTTGTAAATGTTAGATGGATTAAGGATGCTATATGAATTACAGTTCATCTTGTGGTCTTTGCAAATGTTTTGTTTGAAGTGGACTTTGTGTTCATCTTTTGGTTATATCATGTGTTTATGTGGGATTTGTGTTCATCTCTAGCTTACATCATGTGTTGATGTGGGATTTGTGTTTATGTAGAATTTTTTTTTATAGGTTGTATTATCTTCCAAAATTGGACCCTTTAAAAAATAATTTTTTTTAGCTCACATGGACTACTTTTGGTGGGAAAAAATTGTGTTAAAATTTTTTTTTTCAAAAAAATGACGTGGAAATTTTCTGGCGGGAAATCTACGTGGCAGACCAATGTGGGTATGTGGAGAGGGTGGGACCCAACATAAGCCACGTCAGCATATAATGGAGGAATTGACAGACAACGTAACGGAGCTAGAACATTGCAACAAATTCGTACATAAGACATGACATCGAAACTTTTAAAAGATGAGGTATGAAACTGTGAATGATCCAATAGTTGAGATAGTTTTGTGTAATTTACCCTAAATCAAAATGCAAATGTCCTTGACACCAAGCAAACAGAAAAAGAAACACAATTCAAATGTACATATGCATCCATAATACAAATATACATCCACACATACAAATACATCTACCATGCAGTACGAATGTTAGTTTAAGCACAGTAATTTAAGCCAAAGGGGACTTATCAAGAGATTGAAATAAAGGTCCAGGAAAAAGAGAGAAAAAACCTGAAGATCATTATATCAAAAAAAAAAAAAAAAAAAAAAGAAAAAGAAATCGGAACTTGAATGTCAAATTTGGAGATCTAGTAGAGAAAATGACCTTCTCTTTTCAAATATGTGCCTTATCTCAATAGGTGAACCGTGGAGAGAAAGACCTAATTGAGAAATGCTCCCATGTAGTTGTAGTAGGTGAAACTAGTTTGGTTTTTACCTCTCATTCAAAGACACTTGTATACAATTATTAAATTAAATTAATTATATATATTTACGGTTCGGTTCGGTTCTACTAAGGTGAAAACCAGAACCGGAACAGTTATGAACAGTTCTTTCGGTTCTTGTACCTACGTTGACTTTTTTTTGTCAACATAGTTTTTTAAGGTTTACTTTGTCGCGGTTCAATTTGGTTTTGCGGTTTCACGGTTTTTATGCCCACCCCTACCAGAGCATTCATGATCCTTGGCAATTTTATTTTACTTAGAACTGGACCAAGCCATATATGAACTTAATCCTTTCAGAGTCCACTTCCATGATAACTTGGTCGAATCAATAATTTCTTGAGCTGAAAGCCTCTATTGGCCTAAAGGATCATTACTGGGCCGAGGATTGTGATTTTTCAACTCGGGTTAGTCCATCCTCGACCCAAACTGTTATTTAAGGCCCAAACAACCTCTTATAAGGGTTTACAACTTACAAACATCAACAATGTTTGCACCTGTTGAATGGTACCTGACGTCAAACCATTTTTATTAAGCTGTTTTTTCCAAAAGCACTGCAAACCCAAATCAATTTTAACACATGGCGCATCACCGGGTATTATAACATTTCTGCTTAACCACGCGTGACGTTTCTTGTGATGGTCTGAAACGGCGCCCGCTGGTGGAAACCCCGACCCGGCTCTTTAGATTTTTCCCCAACGAACTCCAGCCGGTCCACAGAGTTTCCAATTTTGCTCCACATATTTATACTATATATAATATTTTGGGTGCGAAAATACGATCAAAGCAGTTAAAAGTTTAGCCGACCACCCGTTGGGCCTTTAGCTAAATTTCCCAAACACTTCCCACCACTCGTATCGCTCAACCTTTACACACACCTCCCACCACCTCCGTTCGCCTTCGATCAAGGAGGAGGTCGACGATTCAAATTCTTCCGGGCGATTGAAAGCAGTATTAATGGAGTGGGATAGCAATTCGGATCTGAGCACCGAGGAGGAGGAGGACGAGGAAGGGAGCTTGATTTTCCCCGACGATGATGACGTTTCGGGCCCCGGACCTGGTCCGCTTCCGTTCCCAGTCGAGAATTTGCTCCAAACGGCCCCGTGTGGTTTCGTTGTCACGGACGCTCTTGACCCTGACCATCCTATCATCTACGTGAACACTGTGTTTGAAGTGGTCTCGGGGTACCGTGCCGAGGAGGTTCTTGGTCGCAATTGGTCAGTTTCCTTTCTTGGGATTTTATATTAGGGTTTTGAATTGGGGGTTTTAGGGTTGCATGTTTGGTTTTCGGTGGGGGATTGAATTCGGTTTTTTGGAAATGTTTAATTTTGGTTGCGGAAACCGTGGGGAAATTGTATTTTGCTTTGTTAGAGGTGCTGCGCAATGGGTATTTTGGATTGAATTGTTTTTCGTTGTGGTTGGTATTGGGCTGCTCCTGGCGTTTGTGAGCTGTCTAGGGTTTTGTTTGGGCTCGGGAATTGGATGAAAATTAAGCAAATTGGAGCTGCAAATAGTTGTTTTGTTGAGTCTTTGTGGTATTGAACGCTCAGGCATGTTGTGCTGAGTGTTACTTCTAGTAGGAGCAATACAAATTTCTCATATTGTAGTTGTCAAAGCAAATTAGGATAAAATTACTACGAAATTTGATGCGAAGGGTTTCTATTCTGTGTTTGGGTGTTGCCTTGTCATCCTATCGCTCTATTCTTATCAAAGTTTTAATTTTAATTTTTTAAGAAGTGAAAATTTTGGGAAGAAAATAATGGAAAATAGGATGGACAAGTAGTCCTTCTAGGTACCCCAATTAGAAAATACTACATAAAAGGAATAAAACAAGCAACACTCGATACAGAACTCCACTGTAGTTGATGAATCACACTAATTAGAACATCTCCAGATTGCTCAAGGGGGCCAAAACTCTATGGATGTCCCAAATGAAAACTCTAATTGCCTTCTGTATCTTCAAAATTTTGTTTTATACCTTGAATATACGTATTTTAAAATTTACTTTAACACAAAGTCTTCTCCACATCTAATCTGGGGTATAAGCTTGGTGAATTTGATAGTTGCTATTATAATGCTTGAAATCCATTAGCAGGTTCATTAACACGAGTTGTATCGTAGCTTTGTTTAGCTAAAATCTATAATACTATTGAAATCAATGCTTTTATTTTCTTTCTATTAGTTATAATATTAAAGATTACATTGTAGGTATTTTTTTTGGTGCTTTACCTAATAGTTGAAATATTTTATGTAAGGGGTTCATGTTTTTAATGGTTTTGTCTCCTGGTTGTAGCATCATGAGTAAATGTCATACAATGAATACATCAGATTGCAAGCATCAAGTTAATTTTTTAAGATTCATATGCTAGATGGTACCTAATGTCCATCTCTTTTTCTATCATTGCCCTATCTAGTTGAGTAGCTAGGTGCCTAAGGTCGCACAAAAGTGTTTAGATTTTTCGTGATTAGAAGCAAATAAAGAAGAAAGAGCATGAGTCTCTTATGAAATTATAGGCACCATAATTGGCCACTTTAAAGTAGGATAAAGCTTAAATGTTCACCGCCTTCTTGTATAATATTAGGATGTCCCCTCCGACCAGCGAGATGTTTGTGTTCAATATTCTCCTTCTAATTAATTGTCGTTTGATAAACCTGTTTGAGCATAGATATGGTGTCAGTAGGAAGGATTACTTAAACTCTACACCAAAGTTTAAGTTTTGAAGTAAAGTTTCCCTCAGGGTTTTAACCAAGTAGATATACTAGGAACAGTTGTTTTACAAAAAACAATTTGCATAACCTTGTGATCTTTTTTGGTTGGTTTTATTCATTTTACATACCTTAGAATAGTGCAATCTTATACATATCATAAGGTGTTAGTCACTGAAGCTGAGCTGTTTATGCCCAGCTCCTTAGTAGTCAACACTTATATTTTGTGACTTACACGAGCCAATACTATGATGCAATCGTTTAGAGCAACACTCTTTAGTTTTTTCTTATACTTACAATTATTTGAATCTTCATTCTGAAATTCGCTAATGTTTCTATTTGTGAGATTCTTGGTGTTTGTGGCTTAACTGAGTTATGAAGATATTGAACAAGCTCAAGAAATGATCTAATCCAGTCTTAGAATTTTTTATCATCAGATTTAAGTGTAACTAAGCTACCAGGATCATAATCAAGAATGGGTTGGTGTGTATTGGACCCTTACAAGTATAAAAAACCTGATGTAAAAGGGATGGTATTTTTGGGTCCCACTTTACACTACTGTCCAATGATGCAAAGTGTCTAATTTGGATTTCCATTTAAGAAGTATCCATGCGAAAAATTAGCAAAATAATTTAAATGGGAAACTTATAAAGAAATCTAAAAATCACTCAATTTGGATGATTGAGCCGCATTGCTGGGTGGCCCTGCCAATGCAATCCCTTTTGGTTCTTATTGAAAGGGATCCCTCTTAAGAAGGGAACTATATGTATGTATGTATGTATGTATGTATGTATGTATGTATGTATGTACATGTATGTGTGTGTTTATATATATATATTTTGTAATAAAGGAAAAATTGTGTACTAGGGTTATTGTTTGGTTACATGTAACATTTGTTGAGGATAGTGTTTCAAGTTTTATTGCTAAATGCGTGTTTATTTTCCCTATTTAGGTCTCTTTAATTGTTAGTACTAGGATCTAACGGAAGACTTGACACAAAAACGAGCACAGGGGCATTTTAGGATTCATACATCCGACCCCCCTTAGTGGGATAAGGCTTTGTTGTTGTTGTAATTAGTAGTACTAGACATGTATAATTGTTTATCTACTAGCTATTTTATAAGGTTGGCCATCTACGGTGAATGCAACACATTCTTCACTCTTGTCAAAAGAGAACCATACTTGGATATGTGAAAAGAATAACCAAAATCAAGAAACCAACTACTAGAACATTCAATAGATTCTGAGTTGAATATTTTGACATTATGGGCACTGTATCAATGACCTGAGTTGAATCAATGGGCATTTGTCGTGTGACATTATGGCCATATGACAGGCACTGGATGCAACTAGCATTCAGTTGAATCTGAGTTGAATCATTGAAACTATGGTCACTGTATCAATGACCTTACCTAGTGCTTTTGCCCGTAGCTTAGGATAAGTAATATTGATTGGCCATGTGTCATGACAACAACAACATTATTTGCCCTTATGATTCCTAGTCTTTGATCCATTATGGGCCTTAAGAATCAGATGGAGTGTGCGCTCCAAAGTTCCATCCGTGAGAGAAAAGATTGATTTCATTATCTGAGTAGCTGATTCACCTTGAGGGGAAACAAAAGATTGAAGTTTCATAATTTTTAGTACTTTTGACAGCTTTAAACTTTTGTTATTATTTATATATCTCATAAAATTGTTGCTTTTCAATATATAGTATTGGAAAATTGAGATTAAGTTAACAATGACAGTAATTGAGTCAAAATTACAATAGCAAAGCTGCTACATGCGAATTATTACAAAATTTAAAGGGACTGCTATAAGATATCCTGATTTGTTGGGGAGGTCAGTATAAACCTTGCTAAATCTTTGACATTTGGTTCTATTGTGATTAAAATTGACCTTATTCAAGGCAAAGCATTAATAAAAATTCGATATTTTGCTGCTATATAATACAGTGTGTATATATTATTATTATTAATTTATTTATTTATTTTTATGTTTGAACGTTGGAGACAAATCAAATAGTTTTTGTGTTTCTTTTTATTTGAGGGCTCTCTTTTGTTGGAATTGGATGTTAGCATAAAGAAATAATGCATCTTTCTTTCTGTTCCCTTCTCTGTTTTGTTCTGATGTTGGTGCTTTTTTCACAGCCGGTTTTTGCAATATAGAGGGCCATTTGCAAAAAGAAGGCATCCACTAGTTGACTCTGCAGTAGTTGCAGAAATTAAAAGATGTCTGGAGGAGGGTATTGAATTCCAAGGCGAGTTATTAAACTTTAGGAAAGATGGATCTCCAATGATGAATAGATTGCGCCTGACACCGATATATGGGGATGATGATATCATAACCCACGTCATCGGGATTCAGTTCTTCACAGAGGCAGACATTGATCTAGGTCCAGTGCCTGGCACTTTAATCAAGGAGTCTGCGAAATCTTCTGATCGGTTTCGTTCTTGTCTTTCTGCTTTCCGTCCTTCTGTCCTCCTGGGGGAGCGAAATATATGTCGTGGGGTTTGTGGGATGTTGCAATTGAGTGATGAGGTACTTGCTCTCAAGATTCTATCAAAATTGGCACCTAGAGACATTGCATCTATTGGTTCAGTCTGTAGGCGGCTGTATGAGCTTTCGAAGAATGAAGACCTTTGGAGAATGGTCTGCCAAAATGCGTGGGGTAGTGAAACAACTCGGGTTTTAGAGGCCGTGCCTGGTGCAAAGAGACTCGGTTGGGGTAGGTTGGCACGGGAGCTGACTACTCTTGAAGCAGCGACATGGAGAAAGGTGACTGTAGGAGGTTCTGTTGAACCCTCGCGCTGTAATTTTAGTGCTTGTGCAGTTGGAAATCGTGTTGTCCTTTTTGGTGGTGAAGGGGTTAATATGCAACCGATGAATGACACCTTCGTATTGGATCTAAACGCCAGTAACCCAGAGTGGCAGCATGTCCAAGTCAGCTCTCCTCCTCCTGGTCGTTGGGGCCATACACTATCTTGTGTGAATGGGTCCCATTTGGTGGTATTTGGAGGCTGTGGAAGGCAGGGCTTGCTGAATGATGTTTTCGTACTGGATTTGGATGCAAAGCCTCCAACTTGGCGTGAAATATCTGGGTTGGCTCCTCCGCTACCAAGATCATGGCACAGTTCCTGCACTCTTGATGGCACCAAGTTGATAGTTTCAGGTGGTTGTGCAGATTCTGGAGTACTCCTTAGTGATACTTTCTTGCTTGATCTCTCAATGGAGAAACCTGTCTGGAGAGAGATACCAGTAGCATGGAAGCCCCCTTCAAGATTGGGCCACACCCTGTCCGTATATGGTGGTAGAAAAATTTTGATGTTTGGGGGCCTGGCCAAAAGTGGTCCACTTCGTTTTCGTTCCAGCGATGTGTTCACAATGGATCTGAGTGAGGATGAACCGTGTTGGAGGTGTGTTACAGGGAGTGGAATGCCGGGTTCTGGAAATCCAGGGGGTATGGCTCCTCCTCCTAGACTTGATCACGTAGCTGTGAGCCTTCCAGGTGGGAGAATACTGATCTTTGGTGGTTCTGTTGCTGGTCTTCACTCTGCATCACAACTTTATCTCTTGGATCCAACAGATGAAAAACCTACATGGAGGATATTGAATGTACCTGGGCGGCCCCCAAGATTTGCCTGGGGACATAGTACTTGTGTTGTTGGAGGGACAAGGGCAATTGTCCTTGGTGGTCAAACTGGAGAAGAGTGGATGTTAAGTGAACTCCATGAGCTTTCGTTGGCAAACTCTGTAATCTGATTGTGTATATGGGAACACGCCATAACCACATTAGCCTTAAAGTGCAAGATTGGGGATCATTCTGAATCAGCTAGGCAGAGATTGCTGCTTAGCTCTTGACAAAAGTTACTTTAGTTGGGACGTGTTTTGGGTGTTAGTGGTAGTGCACATTTCTGATATGGAATTGTCCTAGCTCGAGATGAAGTTTCAATAATTTCATGAGCGACTTGAACCATGTTTGTTTTTTGTGAGGTTTGTGTGAGACTGCCCTTCAGTACAGACAATGAATAATTTCTTCCTTTGGCAGGTTAGGAGTACATAGTGGATAGGTAGGTTTTATATATGTAGGCTTAGTCTTATTATGCCTATGTGTTGTTTTAATTTTACGTTCTGTAATTTGAACAAAACGTGAAAATGATGCTATGTTTATAGTAACGTATTGCTAGTCCACTCCTCTGTATGTAATGAAGCCTTGCTCTGCTATCCTTCTTTCGTTTATAACTTGTCATCCTGCTTAAAAGATATACAAGATAAGATTGTGTGGCAGATTTTCTGTAGAAGCCAGCATTCAACTCTGCAGAGCAAGGGTGTGCCATTTTTGGGTGCAGATCAAGTTTTGTGACCAAGATTCAAGAATTTCCAGTCTTGGAAGGAATGTGGCTTCTTCGGTTTGCTGCCCTGAATCTTTGCTCTTTAGTTCTCTTTGATTCCGTGTTGTCTTTCATTTTCCTCCTTACCTTTGGTCAAATATATTTTTTATGTAAATTTGACGGCGGCTGTGTGACTGTTGCTCTCGTTTGTACGCACTTGCTCAGTTTGTGTAATGGTAAAGGATTGATCGGAAGGAATAGGAATATGGCATCTGTTTGTTTCATTGAGTTGGCATATCACTGCTTGTGTTTTGTGAGCTAAAGAGTGAAGAGAATATAGGAGAGGACAAGGACAATTTGATTCCTTTAGAATAATCTTCTTTCATTTGATTGCTTTTTCCCCTTGGGCCTTTATGTTTCGCATATTTTACCATAAAGTCACTCGTGTATGTTTGATGATCTTTGACGGTATGGAAGGAAAACTATAATCTTGGCTTCTTCATGCAGCAGTAGATCCATCCGAGTACTGGAAAATTATAACGCTGCAAAATGTAACTGATCGTACGATATTTGAGTTATACGAAAGTCGTTGATGTTTGGGCTACAACATCCAATATCCAGGGACTGAGTTGGACCTAATCTTAAGGTTTAGGGTGTGATTTCCAAGGGACTGCCTGTGTACTAGGTGGTCTTTGGCTCTTGAACGTGCTAGCCTTAAAAACTACCAAGTCTACGTGGTGTGCATGCCGAGTAACTAAGAGCTAACTACATCCTTTTGGTGAATGTGGCGTGCTAGCTCGCATTCGAGCTTGGCCGGCGAGTAAGGTAAATGTGGTGGTAGTGTCGAATGCGATGTTGACTCCTGTATTCGAGCGATCATTGCCGAGGAAGGAAAATATCTTGGCCTTGGGTTCTAGAACTTGAAGACAAGGTTGCTAGTCGCTGCAAAGTTCAATAAAGGTTTGGCTTTCAATGTCCCGAACACTACGTAACCTAGTAGCATCTCACTTTGCCGACAAGGCTAATGAGAACATCTCTTTCAGTGAGAGAGTCAAAGACTTCTAGCCGTTAGAAACTTGGATGGATAACCAGCCAAACATGAAGCAGTGTTGTTAGTCCAAAATGAAAATACTTCTCGACTGCCTAATTCTATAGCTCTAGTGTTATTAATCCAAACTGAAGATGTCCCCCACTGTCAACACAATGTTGTTGATGGAAGGGTTGGAATAAATAGTAATCTCTTAGAGTGTGACAAAGATTCACGTAAAATGAGGTTTTGTGCAGAGCGTTTGCGTGTTGAGTTGGAAGTCCTCTTCTCATTATAGCACCACTTCTATTTTTAGGGGTGAGTTTCTTGATGGCCAAGCATGCCATAGTAGACTTCTGATAGAACTATACTTCTTCGGCGCTTTTCAAAATATCCATGACATTATCCTTTCACTAATCCGCACATGGTTTTGGCCGCTTCGATCTGGACTAGGATTCTGAACCTAGTCCTTTTATGTGTTTAATTAACTTCTTATTTGACCAATCGCAAGTCTCGATTCCTAGAATAATTTGAATCTTATCAAATCTTATTCTAATCCTTGGTAATTTCAATTTAATCAGAACTCGGCCGAGTCATTACTCAATCTAACCCCTTAAGAATCCTACTTCTATTACGACTCAGCCGAATTCTTTTATGGGCTGAATATCATTCGGCCTGAGGAATCACTACTGGGCTGAGAATTAACCCAAACCATCCACCTTCGGTTCAGATCTAGTATTTCAGGTCTAAACAGAATGACGACATCAACGTTATGGCTAAGGCTATGTTTGGATGAGAGATTTTCAAGCTCCTTAGAAGTTGTTCTTTGCCAATACCTCTTTATATGCCCTTGTAATGCTCCATGATGCACAGATTTCCTATCCAACATTTTCATCTTCCTTATACATGGCTTCCAATCCCATAATTTTGAAATGTCTCACTTAAACATAGCCCAAAGAATATTTCATTGACATCGAACTGTTTCTAAAGAACGACTCGATTTTACATAACTGGTTTGAAGGAAATAATCCAAAACTCAATTTCAATAGGCATAACTGGTTGAAGTTTGGAGCAGTGTATTGAGGGAGTTGGATTTGGAAGTGAAGAGTTGTTGTTGTCTTTCATTTCCAATGAACTCTCGTACTTCCAAAGAACAAGTTAAACTAAATTTTAATTCCTTGGAGATTGATTTTGACTATTTCAAACTCAATATAATAACGACAATTGAATTAATGTTTACTTTCAGGGGAGCAATTCATCTAAGGAGATTTTCGTCAAGGGGAGTGTTCGACGAGATGCTATACGAGACATAAGTCCACCACGCTCTTCCTTCTTCATTTTTTTTTTCCAAGTCTTTTATCCCATTAGGTTTTTCCTAGCAAGGTTTTAGTGAGACATTATTGATCGCGTCCAACCCCTTATCAAGAATTCACAAATGGTTGTACTATATTTCCTTTTCTTTTGTTTTATCTCATTAGGTTTTCAAGTAAGATTTTTATGATGCAACTACCATTGATCGTTGGACATTCATGTGGAAGCGTTGTAAATATTGTCATTTATGTAGCTGTCCACTTTGGCATGTAAGTAGGGGAACTTGCTCTGTGTCCAACTCCAAGTAAACCTTAAGCCTATAAATAGGCATTATAAAGAGAATAATACACTCTCATTCCTCCTACTTTCTAGAGAGAGCACAGCTTGGTAAACTACACTTTAGTGCCTCTCTGATAGAGGCGTAGTCCACCAAGTAGATCTCATATTTATTAGAGATGTGATATAATGTGGTATGTTGTAACATTTTCCTTCATATTTTAGTTTAAAAAACGAAATAGTATCAAATGAAAAACAATCGGAATATTACATTTTAAAACCACATTCGGTATATCTAATGTGGTAAATTATGTGTAAAATTCATGTCAATTAATAAATTGACCACATTAAATATTTAAGAGTGATTTTGTATAAAATCAATACAAAGTTACCATATTGACAATATTTATGTTAATTATAAATAGGTTAATCATGTATTGTGACCCTTAAATACATTTAAAATAAACAAAAATTACAGAATCTACCCTTACAGCTGGCACCTACTTCAACTGACACCCCCTTTCTCATATTTTTCATATTTTGGAATAGGTCAATATGGATCAGACACTGCAACGTAGTGTCTGTTTCCTGATTCTATTTTTTATACTTGGATTTAGACGCTGCATTGCAGTGTCCATTTCCTGGTTCCCTTTTCTATCATTCACACACCTTCTATGCTTCATTCTTTGAGCGATTATTTATTTTTATGTTGAGATTTAGACACTGAAATGTAGTGTCCGTTTCCTAGTTTTGTTTTTCTTTTTTAACATTTTGATTCAGAAACTACAATGCAGTGTCTGTTACTTGGTTCTGTTTTTTCTTTTTTACATTTTGATTTAGAGCCTGCAATGCAGTGTTCGTTTCTTGGTTCTGTTTTTTTTGTTTTTTTTTTATTTTTTTTATTTTAACAGTTTGATTTATTCTTTTTTGCATTTTGATTCAAACACTGCAATGCAATGTCCGTTTCCTGTTTTGTTTTTACATTTCTATATAGAAGTTGCATTGTAGTGTCCATTTCTTGATTTTCTTCTTTTTCCCGTCATCATTCCACATTTCATTGAGTCTCTCTTGACCCATAAAAATTTTCTTAAAAAAAAACTATAAATTTCATATCATAGAAAAAAAGGAGATAGAAACGCAAAAAGATTTCAAACCCAAAAGAAGAAAACATCAAAACCCATAAAATTCAACCCTAAATTCATCCCCGCAGATCCTCATCACGGCTTTACCCATTTTGGGCTCAACGAGAAGACTTTGCCGGTGAAAGATGGCGGCAAAGAGGCATGTGTATTGAAATTAGAGCTTTTTGGGTCTGATTTCGGGTCTTTTTTCTCCTGCGGGTGGTAGTAGTGTGGCATCGTCGAATAGTTCTACTAAGAACAAGTTGCTGGATTGGGAGTGGGAGAAGGCTGAGAGAGATCAACATGGTGTCCTTGCGGGGGAAGAAGGAGCGCACATGGACGGTTTGACTGCATATTTCACAGTTGAGGTTGTCAGTTGGTTGTGGGGTGGAGGAAAAAGGTTGGACAGCATGTAATCACAATTTTTTTTTTTTTAAAAATGAGAGAGAAGGAGAGAAAGGTAAAATTCTAACTATTGATAATTCCTTAAAGCCCATGTAGCATTTATCATTGACCTATACCTAATTAATAAAAATATATCATTGATTAAGTCCACAACAAAAATATGTCACTGATATATGGTTAAATAGTCAAGTTTTTATTGATCTTTGGCTAAATTACCTTATTTTTTATATGTGTTATTTGTCACATGCAAGGGCTAAACTCAGATATATTAAGAACTCAGAGGTACTCTGATTAATGTTAAACATTTGTATAACAAACATTTAACTATAAAAGAGTGCTCAAACACACAAAAAGAAAAGAGAGAGCGCTTACTTAAGCTTGAATGACACACCCTGACCGAGATCAGGGCATACTGACCATCATTTGGAAGTGACGTAACCAAGTGCACAGTGCGGAAGCTAATAAATAATAATAAAAGTACGAATAAAAACAAACCTAGCTATACACAGAGTAAATAACATACATGTGCAAGCGTAAGTGTAAAAACAAATTTCAGAGCATGGAAGACCTAGTGCAGTCCGGGAGAAACAACACTAAATAAACTCACCCAAAGGTGGTCCTACGCTGGTGATAATCTGTCAGACAAGCCGGGAAATCCTCTGGGGAGCCACCAAGAGTGCTAGCCAAACTAGAACTTGGAGGGGCGCAAAACAGAAAGCG